GATACCAGAAACCAGATACCAGATCCACATACCAGATACTAGACACCGGATACCAGATACCAGAAACCAGATACCAGATCCACATACCAGATACCAGATACCAGACACCAGATACCAGATACTAGATACCAGACACCAGATACCAGACACCAGATACCAGATAGCAGATACCAGAAACGAGATACCAGATACCAGATAAAAATATAACAGATACCAAATACCAAATACTAGATACCAGATACCACACACCAGACACCAGATACCAGACACCACATACGAGATACCAGATACCAGACACCAGATACCAGACACCAGATACCAGATACCAGACACCAGACACCAGATATCAGATACCAGATACTAGACACCTGATACCAGATACCAGATCCACATACCAGATACCAGATACCAGACACCAGACACCAGATACTAGATACCAGACACCAGATACCAGACACCAGACACTAGGCACCAGATACCAGATACCAGATACCAGACACCAGACACCAGACACCAGATACCAGACACCAGATAGCAGATACCAGAAACGAGATACCAGATACCAGATAAAGAGATAATAGATACCAAATACCAAATACCAGATACCAGACACCAGATACCAGACACCACATACGAGATACCAGATACCAGATACCAGACACCAGATACCAGATACCAGATACCAGATACCAGATACCAGATACCAGACACCAGATACCAGACACCGGATACCAGACACCAGATATCAGATACCAAATACCAAGTACCAGATACCAGATACCTGATACCTGATACCAGATACCAGACACCAGACACTAGATACCAGACACCAGATACCAGACACCAGATACCAGATACCAGATACCAGACACCAGATACCAGATACCAGATACCAGATACCTGATACCAGACACCAGATACCAGATACCAAACACCAGACATCAGACACCAGACACCAGATACCAGACACCAGACAACAGACACCAGACACCAGATCCCAGACACCAGATACCAGATACCACACACCAGATACCAGATATCAGATACCAGACACCAGATACCAGATAAAGAGATAACAGATACCAAATACCAGATTCCAGATACCAGACACCAGATACCAGACACCAGATACCAGACACCAGACACCAGATACCAGATACCAGACATCAGATACCAGACACCGGATACCAGATACCAGATACCAGACACCAGATACCAGATACCAAATACCAGATACCAGATACCAGATACCTGATACCAGATACGAGATAAAGAGATAACAGATACCAAATACCAGATACCAGACACCAGATACCAGATTCTAGACATCAGATACCAGACACCGGATACCAGATACCAGACACCAGACACCAGATACCAAATACCAGATACCAGATACCTGATACCAGATACCAGATCAAAGATGCCAAAGGATAAAAAATGATTAGAGATAGGGATAAAGTTATCGCTAGCATTGCATTAGCATACCAGCAACTGCGCTACGTGAGGTTTTAAATAAAGACATCAACGTGCAATATTTTGCATAGCGTTAGCGTGCCAGCAACTGCGCTAGTTATAATATTAAGACGGCTATGAAAACAACATGGCGTTCGCGATTTGACAGCATTAAGATAAGCGACAAATTGTTAAACTGGACATACTCGCAACTAGAGGGCTTTGGAAAACAATGATAAAATCAAATAATGTCAAACATAAGTGTAAATACTTGTTTATAAGCTTTATTGTGTCATTAATTTAAAGAAAAATGTTCTCCCATGAAGAAAAGTGTGATATGTTAGAATGCTATTTAGTGTGCAGAAAATCCTCCTTGAGAGCAAGAGAATACTACAGTGAATTATATCCCGCTCGCATTCAACCGTATGAACGATATTTTCTGAGACTTTATCGAAAATTTAGGGGCAACGAAAATGTTTTTGCTAAAACAAGGGCAAAAAAAGAATTCATAATAAGCGAGGCCACGGAAATTGCAGTTATTGGATATTTTGAAGCTTATCGTGAGAATTCAATAGCAGATATTCTCAAGGACTCTAATTTCAGTTATGGTACTGTTCAAAGGATTTTAAAAAAATACAAATTTATTCCGTATAAGTACCGACCAGTTCAAACGCTTTTGGCAGGGGATCCAGAGAGAAGACTTGTTTTTTGCCATTGGTATCTTAGCTTCTGTCGCCAAAATGTAAATAACTTTCGTTACCTTTTATGGACAGATGAATCAAATTTTTCAAATTCTGGAATGTTTAATAGAAAAAACCACCATTATTGGTCAAGAGAAAATCTTTTGTTAGTACATCCAAGAGGCCCACAAGTCCGTTTCAGTTTCAACGTTTGGTGCGGTATAATTGGTTCAAAAATTGTTGGCCCGTTCTTTTATGAGGGAACCCTAACTGGTGAAAGATATGTGGAATTTATGTCAGAAATTCTGACTAATTTCTTAGACGAATTGGATCTTATAAGTAGACATCATCTGCATTTTCAGCAAGATGGCGCACCTGCCCACAACTCCAGAGGTACTTATCATTTTCTAAGTACTACTTTTAATGATCAGTGGATAGGAACAAATGGCCCAATACAGTGGCCTCGCAGATCACCAGATCTAAACCCACTTGATTACTTCTTGTGGGGTTACTTAAAGAACCAAATTTACAAGCGAAGGTACGATAACCTTGACGCGTTAAAGACTGCAGTTAGGGAAAAGATAACCCAGATAGATGGTAGGACCATACTTAAGACAGTTCGAGCAGTTGAAAAACGTGCCCAAAAATGTATTGAAGAACAAGGTGGTGTTTTCGAGCATCTTCTTTAAAAAAAATTGTTATTGTATTTTGTAAGATTATAAGTTGATGTTGAAAATAAAGTTTGTCGATACAATTTAATTGTTTCAGATTGGAGGCCATAACTTCAACAATTTGTAACCTAGGAGAAAAGTTATTGTAAGCTTTTTTGTTTAAAATTTGATGCTTTAACAGAAAAAAATATAATATACAGGGGTTTCCATTTAAAAAAATGTTATTTTACTGAAAAAAATCAAAATAACGACTCTCAATTGTTTTTTTTTATTTCTCATTTTTACCAGCGTTAAAAATGCTACTAGTTTGCTAATTCAAACAACTTTGTATTTTCACTAATAACAAAGTTACTAATGGTGGACACTTAATTTGGATAACCCTGTATAATATATAGATAATGAGCTTTTTCCCTTTACCTGGAAATCGAAGTACTAACTGGTGTAGATTTATTTCAATAAGCGAACCTTTTTCAAATGTTTTCATCACATTCGGCGAAAAAACATTGAGACATGAGTATCAGATTGCTATAATTGGGATTATTTAGTCATATTGAAAGAAAGAATATTGAACGTCGTATGATTACTCAGCGCTTTACAATTTAATTTAAAGTTATAAACCTTTAAAAAATGAATGATCAGGAACCTGAAATACGCGCAAATATTAATTATATTAAAAAATTATTGAAATATCGAAAACACATAAAAACATGGCTTAAAAAAGTTCTAACAAATGAAAATGACAATAAAACATTCACGCATTTTATCGAAAGTTATAAAAGTTTTGTTACTTGTAATATGTTTTATCTGCCCCCTGGAATTAATGTTTAGAACCTTGTTCCCAAGGTTTGAAAAACATCCGATTGTTGTCTATTACTCATATTTACCTGCTGGATTTTTTAATCCGGTGGAGAGTCCATCTAGAAAGGCCCTCCTGGATGAAGTTACAGAATCATCAACCCATACTTTACTTGTAGTGTGTCCTGCGTTTACCCACGTTTCATCAAGGTAATAAATCTTCCTGTTTTGATTTCTATATTTCCCAATTTTTGTTAAATAATCCCTCCTCCATAGCACAATTTCTTCTCTATCCAGTAGTAAACTATTACGACCCCGTTTTTTCCATTTGAAATTTAAATGCTCCAGTAACGCATGGAGAGTTGATCGTTTGAAATTTGGCAACGTTGTATCTCCATTTACCTCCTGCAGTACTTTATCTATAGTAGGTATTTCATTCCCAAAGAAGAATTCATGCACTTTCCTCCTAATCGCATGCTTATCAGCTTCATCCAATGATTTAACAATACTTTTGCGATGTTTACTGGTCATTGACTCAGAAAAGGTGTGATTTTTTTTGTATTGTCTTAACACATTAAACACTGATGCGCGACACACCCCAACTTTGTGAGAAACCTTCACAACAATTTCTTTGATGGTTGATGCCTCGTTCTCCTCGCGCTCGATCTTATATATATTCAAAATGACCCCTTTCATTTCTGCACTCAGATGTCTTTTTTTAGAGCGTTTCCTAGGTGGACTACAGGAGTTTACTACTTCATCGGCAGTATCTGTACTACTGGGCATTTTGCGCAAGCAGTTGATAACAATAACAATCAATAACTAGGTATAACAATAACAACGACAAACTCAACAACTTAATAAGATAACAAACGAAAACGTCCAAAGAAATATCAAATTGCAATGATGCACACGACATACGTAACACGTCTGAACCTGAATGTGACTCTGCCTTGATACGACTGCTCTGCCGCTCGGCATAGGCAATTAATTGCGAATTGACCAATGAGGGATCCTGTTTTACGTCGAGACGGCGGCGTTAGCGTGAAAATCAACCGAACCTTTTGTTTACATCCGGTCTATCTCTTATCTGAATATACTGTAGATGTACCAGACACGTCACCTTCGCTCACCACACCGAATACATCAAGCGACCTCGAGAACGCGAGAACACATCCAGAACTGTTCTCGCAACACTCCTGTCGACTGTTACGCAATCTTCGACTAATAGTGCTGCGTCTGTATTGTTCGTGGAGCCGAAATGCGAGAAATGGTACGTCGACGTCTCAAGGGCCCCATGATGTTTGTCTTGGGAGAAAATAAGATAAGGTACAACTGTTTGACCTTACGGGGGCGAAGCCAGACATCAGTGCTTTGGGTATTCAATAATAAACCATAATAAAAAACACATACAGGTATATCTTTGCTTCAAGCATAGACAATGAAATTGGGTCACAATCTATAGAGTAATTGGAAAGAAAATTGTTGTTTAACTTTATGTAGGCTGATTCCTATACTTTCTGGGTTGGTTTTCGCGTTGTCGAGGTTCTTTGACACTTTTGGAGCGACAAGCGAGGGCTGTCTGATAAATCTGTAACAATAGATAACCGTAAACTCGTTGGTCGTTTTGGAGAGATTGGATGATTTGGGAGCGGGAGTGTCTAGCCCTGGTGGCTCTGGATTTGCTGGGTTTGCACGGTGCCATTTGAAAATTGCAATCATGGCTTCGCGCGATGTCGGAATGGTAGAGTACCGTTCAGGCAGTTGTAGCAACAAACTGTATAGTAGCGACAGGAAGAAAAGAGCTGACAGATAAATATAGAATATTTTGACACTGTCCCATTTTTTATCTGTACTTTGGAAAACGAAACGGTAGTAAAAACTCAAACCTACATATGTGGTTTCATTTAAGAGTAAGAAAATGTGGAAAATTATCAACATGAGAACCACAGCCTAAGTTTCAGTTACACGTAAGCAAATGTCAACATTTACGTACAGATACTAATTATTTCACATTTTCGCATTGTTTCACCTAATGTTGACTTCAAGTTTTATACTTTCCCATTTTGCTTGCAATGCCGATGGCCAGAGAAAAAATGCAATATTCAGCATTTGAACCTAAACAGTTTTTTGATACTACTCGTATCTCGTAAAATTTTCAACGCTTACAACAGTTTTAGGTTATAAATAAAAATCAACATTTTAGCATTATAAAAAAAGTAGAAATAATACAATCAAATACCTATCCAAATTTACCTCCGAGTAACCTTCCGAGATAGAAGAGGTATACGCTCTCAGCAAATGCCATGGTCATGAAGGCGATGATGTGAGGTATGGCGATGCTCAGCAGTCCAATCTTCCTTCCGAACCTCTCCGAGACGAAACTGAAGGGCAAAGGGCCGAACATGGCCCCAACATTCACTAATGAGCCTATCCATCCATCTTCGTCTCTGGTTATCTCTCTACCAATAGGATTAATAGTTGAATCGTTGCTATGAAGCTTCGGGTAAATAGGCGAGGTCCAGGTCATCGTGATGTCCCCTGAGGTAGCTAGCAGGTTCACTAGAAAAAGTAAAAAAATTGGCACAAAGTAGATTGACTTTATACTTAAACCTTTGTTCCGACATTTCGGAGAATTTCCGATTTCAAAAAGAAAAGAATCGTTTATAGTTTAGGCCATTCGGAAGACTCATATGGAATCAAAACTTGACTAGGTATAGTCACTTAAGTAACATAAAACGTAAACCTCTACATCTCAAACTACAGAAAATAAATCTAGCACCTATTCAGAACCTAATGTGTCAATTCATGCTGTGACGTAAAGTTGCTGTGCTACAAGAACAGCAAGTGTAGCAGAGACAACAGTGTAAACAACCTGTACAGCATTCGAATCTATTTGAAGAGAAGAGAAACCTTGCTACTAAGTGGAGCATAATCAGGATGTAGGTACGAGTATAAGACAACCTAGTCATAACAGGATCATTGAACAGGCTATGAAAGCTAAAGATGCCCTACCAAACGCGCATAAGTTCACTGAAGCAGTGAACAGAAGGAAAAGGCGCAGAAGAATACTAGAAAATTACAAACTGTTGAAGACAATATTGAAGTAAAAAACTAAGTAAATACTATAAAAGAAAGGAGAATGTATGCTTCCTTGTTGAGGTGGTCAACCACGATTTTTAAGATAAATTGAGAGATGTTGTTGGCCACCTGTATAAATATTCAATTTTATAATTGGCCAATGATTCTTATACAATATTATAGAACAAGGAACGAACAAATGGGCCAGATGACTTTGAAACACCAACAACAAACTTCGAGTGAGTGACCTTCACCCCATATCCAACAGAAAGATCGCCGATAAATGTTACAGCGTGATTTATCAAAATGTTCAATACTGGAAAATTGTGTGGATAAAATGAATGCAGTTCTGCAAGCAATCCTAACTGTAGTGTACTGTGCATTACTTAAGACAGGAAATAAGACGAACAACTAAAGCAAATTGACAGACAGTTCTTCAAATTGGTGGCGAGCTTCAACAGAGATGAAGGTTATTATGGTGGTGCAGCAGTGTATGTTAGATAAAATATAGTGTCTCAAGCAAAAATCAAAGTTATAAGTGATCGGTATATTTGAGTGCACTGTCATGGAATGTAAAATTGAAAACAGGTCAAATCTATATTGTGCCGTATGTAGACCTCCAAATGGCGACCGTAGGAATTTTTTCTTGAAACTTCTGACACATCTTGCGCAGAATAAGACACTCATAACAGCAGCTTCAAATGGTTAATAAAAACAGCCTTAAGAATGAACTGTGCTGCTCCCTTATGTGCAATTTTTATTTAGAACCCAAAATAAATGACAACTAGGATTGCCCCTGAATACCAATCTGTTCTAGATAACATTTTTACAAACCCATACTGGTGATATGACAGAAACACACATATACTAAGTGACATATAAATCCGAACACCCAGTTTAAATGGTTTTATTTTAATAATTGTATAAGTACTTAATGAAGCATAATAAGTAAACGATAAAAATTTCAAAATGATTGCACTGCTTTAAAGCCCTTTGACCTTTAATAATGTGTGGATGCACCCTGATGTGCTACGCATTCTCCAACGCGCCTAGGCATGCTGCTGATCAGGTGGTCAATGTCCTCCTGTGGTATCTCATTCCAGGCAACCACCAGCTCCTCTCGAAGTGCTTCTAGAGTCTGAGGAGGACGTTGCAAATTGAGCAATCTCCTACCCATCATATCCCACACGTGCTCAATTGGGGATAAGTCGGGAAATCTTGGTGGCCATGGTAACAATGTGATATCATTATGTTGAAAGAAGTCTATTGTGACTCTTGCAACATGTGGTCGGGCATTATCTTGTTGGAAAGTTGGATCTGCCAGGGTGTCAAGATAGGGTAAAAGATGGGGTTCTAGAACTTCGTGGATATAACGCTGCGCGTTCATGTTACCTCTGATGAAGATTAAAGGTAACCTGGAACCATAAGCTATAGCACCCCAAACCATAACTCCAACAGTGTGATGAACATGTCTTTCAACAAAAAACTGTGGATTCCTCCTATCACCACGTCGCCTTCTAACCCTGGCACGACCATCGTGCATGCCTAAACAAAATCGAAACTCGTCACTAAAGACAATACTGTTCCATTCCTGATCCCAGAGTGACCGTTGTCTGCACCACTCAAGGCGATTACGTCGGTGTTCTCGAGTTAAAGGGAGGACCCAGTGTGGCCGGTATGAAAACAAGCCAAAACTTCTCATTCGTCGTTAAACACTTCGCATGCCAATAGGTCTTCCGTGTTCTGCAAACCATTCATTTGCAATGGACCTGGTAGTGGAGAAACGGTCCCTTAAGGCCAATAATCTTAGGCGGCGATCTTCACGGTCTGTTGTTCTACGGCGGCGTCCAGTGCCCCTTGCTCTTTGCGTACGGCCTTCTCGAAGCCATGCCTGACAACACCTAACCACAGTGTCTACACTTCTTTGCACTCTGCAATTGCCTGAAAAGAAAGTCCAGCTTCCCGAAGTCCCACTATACGGCTCCTATCAAACTCACTAAGTTGACGAAATCGTACAGGTCTCCGTACTCTAGGCATCGTAACCGATCGTAAAGGATGTCAAGATTGTCAAGAACCAAAATCCGCCACCGTAGATTCTTTACTGCGGCTGAAATATTCATTTTTAGAGCGTTAGTGAATTAAAAAAAGCAGTATAAAAACCGGAATGTCCAACTTGTTATTTACAGTAAGATAAATACATTCACCAACTTTTATTAAAATAAAACCATTTAAACTGGGTGTTCGGATTTATATGTCACTTAGTATATTTGATCATTCATATTACTAATAACTCTCTGAAATTTGGAATTTTTCCTGAACAATCGACATTGTCAAAAATCAAACTATTGCATCATTGATAATTATAGGTCCCTCAGTATTCTAAATAGCTTTGCCAAACTATTAGAATATGCTGTTTGTTTATAAATAACTATTGTTATAGATGAAAACAAATTGTTTAGAAACAGTCAGCATGGCTATATACAAGGACGATCTTCCATTACAGCTCTTCACCAATTTACAAAAAATATTTTAAACTACATGGAAACTGAGTACTTAGCAATGGAGTTATTTCTTGACTTTTACGTATACGACTATTTAAATCATACTATTTGATTGCTTGCTCTCCAACTAGCGACCTTCATGGTCCAACTCAACATGGAGGGGAGCAGGCTTCAAAATATTGTTGATGGTGTTCCACGTAGCATATCTACTTTACTATTCTTGATATTTTTCCACTGCTTTATTCATTTATACACAGTCCGCCACTAAGATCTGAGAAATCGTATGTATATGAAAAACATCTAGGATTACTGTTTTGAAACCTGTATGCAAATATGTCCGAGATGCTATTTTGAATAATGATTTACACTTTGGAAACGAAACGATTTTCGTATTTACTTAAAATTTTATAAGCCGAGGTCTGAAATTCGTCATTTCTGAGTCACATGATCTTTCCAAATTATTGGTCGTACATACATATGTATAGTAAGTTAAGGGATCTACAAAAAACTTCGATTATCAGATATACGATAGTAGGTATCTTTTATGACGTATGTCGGTGTCAGGTAATCCTTGGCCCTTTTTCACAGACAGAAAAAAATTCTAGTTTTTGCTAATCGGCTTAGTTGCTACAAATTAATTGTCGAAAAAACTTTTTAATCATTTGCCCCTCTCACTACTTCTAGGTTCGACACTCCGGATTTTCCTAAAAACGTTTGAGACGGAATTTCAAAATAAATTGCATATTAACATTGCCACCTTTTGACCTCTACAAGGTGACATAATTAGAATATCAATATGATTTCTCGTCTCGTATACAATTATAGCATGTCATATATTAGTCTTGTAAAACTATAATCATGTAAAAAACTGATTGTCCTGCGTAAGCATTGAAATTATCTAGTCATTTACTTGTCGGTGACTGTCAAAATCAGAATCAGAGAGATGTTACCTATTCGTACAGTTTCTGTTTGCCGACAACTAGTCCGCTGTTTGTTCAGAATCTTCTGACAGGTCAGAGAATGCGTGTCAATCAGTAACAGTGACAGGTATCAGAGAGTGTCGAAACTATCTTGAGGACTAATATTGCTCTGCAAAAGGCATTTCATGCGGAGGAATTGGCACCACAATTCAACAGCAACGAGTTTTTGTAACATTTTATATGCGACCAAGATTTGAGAATTATCAGTATGTTTAATGGTTATTGGCCCTGTACGTGATGCTAGGGTTTTTAGAACATCACCAGTTTTTCAATCACTGGAGCAGAAGTCTTTTGCCGATGACATGTTCGCATACCCCTTGTTACCCAACCTCTCAATTCCATTCTAAGACCGTGGCCAGTTATCATCCAGGCAACTAAACTATAACAGAACACATTCTTCAAATCGCATTCTAGTAGAGCACTGCAATGGCAGTTTGAAGCAAAAAATGTAGGTAACTCTACCACGTTAAGGAGCATCAGATAGACAGTGCACACTGAAGATGATGATGATAATAATCACCTCAAAATTCATCCATCAGAGCTAAGTGATGTGGCAGAGAATAGCGATAGCACTCAAAAGAGGGACTGTATTGTTGCGCTGTGAAGTTAATTATACAAATGTATATTCGGCTATAAGTTTAAGTTTTTTATATGACTATAAGGTCTAATATAAAATTATCTGTTTTCAATTCGCATTTCAAAATATATGTATTCATATTTGATGCAATTTCAAATCAGCTTAACCTATCAAAGTGATTCGTGCTCAATATTTTGTTTATTGGCCGTGTAACGACAGAAATCCCTAGATACAGTGTGAAAAATCTATACATTAGAGGTACAATTCTTTCAAGAATCATAATAATTGATACTATTTTTTAGTGAACACTAATTTTTCCAAAATTTTTGTTAGAAATAAGCAACTAATTTGTGCCTAGCTGTGTTGCCAGTGGTCATGTCATGTTGATCAACTTTGCCATCTCTGATATTTATATTTATCCATATTTCTGCTTGTAGTATGTCTCAAGGGTAAAAATACGACTTGACTTATGACTTTCCCTTGATGAGTTTTTGTATTTTCGTAGTCTCATTACTTTTTGTCCATGTGGGGACTCTATGAAACTTATAGCTATGTGAGCAGATCTTAGTAATTGTAGTTATGCTCAGCTGTTTTAGCTTTTTAGTGTACCTATATTAAACTTTTGTTATTAAAAGATATTATGTCCTTGTAGTATTTTTACTTCTTTCTTAGCATGAGACTCTGCACATGTAGGGAAAATATATTCATCCCAGCCAGCATCATCGTTATATAGGCGGACCCGGCTGTAGTTTAAGAAAATATCTTTATAGTTAGTACAATATATGAAAATGCTCACGTTTGACAGCCTGACCGTCCGCCATTTTCAAAGATAGTCGGCCGCTCCAACCCCCCTGAAAATAGCTGTATCACAAAATCTTCAAAATTAGTCTATAGCTAGAATATACATACTGTTTGTACATACACTTCAATGCTGGACGACAATTCTAGGGAACAGAGAAGAAAAACCCTACTATCCTAGTTTTATAAAAACAAATTTCCAATATCTTGGGCATTTTCGATCCATAATCATCGCAAACATTTGTTCAGAATTCTTACTTTTTGCTTCCTCAACGTGTCATTCGATGTATGGAATCACATTCCTTCGAATTTATTTCCTTACTTTTTGAAATGAGAATTGCATAGGAATAACTGAGTAAGTCTACTTGAAATTTTTTGGTTCTATCATTTGTTCTAGCAAGTATTCCTTGATATTCCCTCTAGAGGAAAATTCAGAACTTCCAGGCAATCCTAGATCATTCTGGTTTACAGCAAATGAAAATACATGGTGAAAAATGTTATATTCGGATAATGATTGTGCTTGATTTCGAGCTCTGACAATTTACTGGACAATAATCTGCTGACTAATTTGACAGTCATCAAACAATCAGAAATTTCTGTACGAACAGTGGATCAGTTGTCGGTAATCGGTCAAAGCTCCCTCAGAAAACTCGTAACGTTCTCATGTACACAATCTATACAGTCAGTGACGCGTCAGTGACAGTTTTAACTGAATAAACTAGGTCATGACTTATCGCCGACTATCAGTTTGCTGATTGTCAGCAAATAGGCTGTACGAACAAACCAAACATGTTACGGATTTGTATAAAACTTTAATTGCGTAAAAGATAAACTGCTTATAATTGCATACACTCATCGAAAGAAGAACGTAACGTTGCCTCATTTGTATTAGTTAAGGGTGGGACATCGAAAACGGTAAAATTTCAATAAACTAATAGACGAAGCCTCATATTGGAATTTTTATTCTGTCACAGTGTAGGCGAGAAAAAGTGGCAATGGTAATGTGCAACTTATTCTGGACTCCCGCCTTCTAAAGCCAGGAAAAAAGGAAAACGATTATTCAGTGTAAATTCGGCTTTTTCTGCCTATCTCTGGAAATACACTGTAGCTGTATCTGGGATTTTTTTTTCAGTTACCTATATGCGCACCTTTGACCCCACAAACGATTTATTGCGTTTCCGAGATCCGAATGATGAGGGTCAAATTTAGTGCTTTTAGCAAAGTTAGGTTCAAGTCTGGCGTTTTGTCCTAACTTAATTTTTATAAAAAATGTTTTCTTCATTTAATTTTGACGGGCTTGAGAAAAGCGAGGCAGCTGCCTCCTCTTGCCCCGACTCTGTATACGTCCATGGTGACCTTCATATAGAGATTTTCTCTATTTTGCGCGAATCTGCGAGAAAATTACAGGTCAAGTCGGCTAACGACTAATTTGACTAGCAGCGATAACTTTATAACCGGTTAGAAATATGACTTCTACCCCACTGTTAAGTCGAAATGACTTAAGTCCGTAATCCACTGCAGATTATAAAGTAAAGTCAATTTTTATAGAAAATATAAGCAGAAACCTGATGTCTGTATTCGGACAACTATCTTTATTTGAAGCTATCTGATAAAAACTTATTTTCCTATCTGACAAGATGTGTTCTCGGAAAATGAGCATACTCGAAAACCTATTACACCTATATTTTATGTCTTTCACTTCTCATGTCAATATTTGGTTGTTATATGACATGCACATCACGAAAAATCATCACATCTCTTTTATTGGTCTGTCTGTCTGTTGCTTGGGTTTTGATGAAAATGTAACACTCAAAGTTACTTCATGGTAGAGGCGAAATAGTTTGTAGGTTTATCATATCGTAGTTAAATGAATGCACTCTGATTCCATTTCAGCCATTTGCACAGAATTCACTCATTAATTTTCTTTATTATACACGTGTAGAAATAACATTTTCAGCGAAAGGCTATATTTACTCTAGCATTTGTTTTAGCATTTACTATTATAAATATAGTCTAGGTAATCCTTGTCCCTGATAAATAAATTCAAACCAGTATTATTTTATTATCCTGTCACTAGGTTTGACCAAGGTGCAGATGTTATTCTTCAAAATACAAACATGCTTACAATTCGATTTGTTTTTTATTTATTGTTTTACAAGTCACACTTTACACTCTAGACACACGAGTTCTAAATTGCCGCTCGTACAACTTGGTGTACACCCAGGAAGTCAATGCGCGTTTTGCATGACGCCGTTATCACCCGATACGATGACGACCGAACGCGCGTTGTCCTGTTTCACCTCATCAGTAAAGCTAAGCGCGCATTTTTTGCACCGCGTCAGTTTAACGATCGTGTGTCCCAGCACTCAGAACGAACCTTTCAGGTAAAAGTCTTGCCATGCTCCGAGCACATAATGGTTCTTGATTAATTCTTGATTCAAAAGAGAGAGAGAGACAGAGAGAAGTAAAAGAATTGGCAAAACATTTCCACCAGGAATTCCTGCTGAATTTAATTTCACATGCATTGCTTGCAAAATGCTGAGATACATCTTGAATTCTACTTCCGAGATACTATCTGAATTAAGCAAGAGTTTCTTCGTAATTACTAAAGAATGCGTATTTCGGCTTTAAATGGAGGTGATTTGTTTCAGCCTATTAAAAAAAGAAGCCAATGGTTGTGTCTACTTTGTACAGTATTATGTTCATTGCTTATTTTAGGTTAGAGCTGTTGGACCCTTGGAGTAAATTTTTTGCAAATATTTATTATTTTTATTTTAGCACTGTCTGGGTTTCAGATCTATAGCTCATAATAATGTATAAATCCTATTTCGCGAGTATTCATCACGTTTTGATGTCTACTGACCAGCAAGTGAAGTATTAGTCTGTAACGTTGGCAATAGATAATGAATTGGGTGCAAATGTAGTAAAACTGTCTTGTAGCGTTCCTTTTTGTATGCAATTGAACTTTTCTAAATAAAAGAGTTGTTAGCAAAAAAAATCCATAGCGTACAAAAAATCAAAACAAAATACAGCTCTGTCTACCTGCGGGAACGAATGCGTCAGAATTGTGTGTTATTTGTCCATATGGAGATTTTTGAAATATTACTACTTAATCTTCTGTTGGCATCTACTATATGAAAATAGATTCGAAAAGTTTCGAAGAAAATATTAAGCCAGATATAACTGTACCTATACCACTTGTCTCGTTTGAAGGGGCTAGGAAATTTGTATGTTACGTCTATGAGAAGTTGTATATCATCATGTTTGTGAAGGACATTCCTTTTCTACCTAAGTTGTCAATGTATAGATTTTATCTTAAAGGCAGGTTGATATTGTATTCAAGATAATAATATTTTTATTTTGAGATCAGTCAATCAGATAAATTGATCTGTTTTGGCCGAGTGATGCCGAACTTTTCGCTATTAATGTATAGTGAAAAATATACGAATTAATGATGATGCAATCACATTAACTGATTGAATACAAATGGATCTATTGAGAGAACACTTTTGCGAAATTGTTTTAGCTTTAAGATTTATTTATGATCAAAATGACTGTAACTGAAATATGTAAAAGTTCTCTTTATATAAATTCACTCTTGCAGATGCTTTTATATCCCACCAATACCAGATCGCGTTGTGTTTTAAATTTAAAATGCATTCACACGCCTCGTGAAGTATCAAAGTACATAACCTCTGTGAATGTCAAATTGTCCTCGGGAAAAGATTTTTGAACTCCAGTGACTGTGAAGCTTCATAGCAACAACAGACTGCAAACTGTTTTTAACAAAATCTTGCCAGATCTAAACGTATCAAACGCAAAATATGCAATGTCACAAATTGAGTTATGCACTTATAGTTATTCTAAATTAAGCATTTCTATGGATGCCCAAAATAAAATGTATAAATCACAGAAATATTTAAACTTACCTGCCAAAACCGACACTAACGTATAACTTAACTTTATCTGGACTGAAAACATCTTGCGAGTAGACGTTATTGTTAATTGAACGGGATCTTGAACAATTAAAATTCGTTATAGGATGGTACACGATCGTGTTATCTGTTGATTTTTCAGCTTTTTTATTAAATGTTGTTCATTATTCAACGCGAGGTCGGTAACACCACGTAAACTGTGAAATAAATATTTTGCAGCACGTTGTCGTTGTAAGATTTTTCTATTTTTATTTGCATTGGCGAGTTTGGCTTCACTTGGCAAGCCTTAATAACTTGCGTCAGGTGGAATCGCGCTATACGGAATTAGAAGGCATGTTTGTACAGACATAAGTTTTACGGCAGACTATGTCGAAGGTAAATCTTCGAACAATATTTATTCTTGTGTGTTATTTTGGAGTGAAAGTGCAGAGCGCTCTAAGGTTTATGATGCGGTCATATTAGGTATAACACGAAACATAAAATGTAGATGGTAATACGATCGATGGGAATTATTATAACCTTTTCAGCCCAGACAATCTCGAAAAAGGGCTACAAGAACAGAAATATCAATATGTTAAAGTTTTCGTTAACTTCACCACACACCATTGAGTTTTTAAATGCGTAGTAAAAAGAGAGGATTGACGGGTTTATGGGAGTATGTGGAACGAATGATTTACAGGGTGAATCAAAAATGATGTCAATATTTGTATAGCAGAAATATCATCCAAGCTCAAGCTTTCTAAACGGATTTTATTGACAATTCATATAACGTTGGACACTTTATTCAAAAATGCAATAGCGATTTCAAAATGCCTCAGTTCCTATACACCATGACTGGTGTACTTTAAGTCTTGAAATGTTTGTACATTATGGAACATAGCGTTTGTGTGATGTGTACAAAATTAAAATTTGATACCTCTATCCACTGTGGATATATGATCTTTTCTTGGTGTAGACTGCAACATCTCAATACACAGAATCTCTATAAAATCGCATTATAGGGGCTCATGATTATTTAAATTTTCCATTTTAGTATCGGACGTCTTTAGGTTCTGGAAATATTGTCACTGATTTTTGAATCAAGCAGTATACGTATATCCCGTTTAAACTGACCATTGAACATAAATCAAAAATAATATTTCACAGAGTAACAATATGCTACAAAATAATGGATTCTCGAGTGTTCAGTTTATACGCATATTGTGATTTCCATATATCAAATGAATTATGCAAAATTACCTAAGGGCTAACAAATCTTGCTGACCCTATAGGTACTATAGCATTAAATAGATGTGCAAAGTTTTATTTATTAATATGTTCATATAATCGTTCTTTTAACAATTAGTATCATAGGAATAGTCCACAAGTAATAAAATCATAGCCAAGCGTTTCTATGCAGACGCTTTATTTAAACTTTTGTATCGCAAATATTAGTCAGTAATGAAACTTTCCTAATGCCTTATTGGATATACCGGGTGTAACAAAAGTAATGAAACGGCTCTGATTTTAATATGTATTAAAATCTAACCAAGGACACCCTTAAAAGTCGAATGTCTGAGGCTAGGGAGAATTTCTAAAAGTTAAGCAGGATTATAGAGAAAAAATCCACTAACTTTTAACAACGATTCCCATATTTACTTTAAATTTTACCTTGAGACTCACTTTCAAGGTCATAATAGCACATGAAGAGGTGTTATTCCCAGTTAAAAAATAGTTGACCTTGAAATGACATTGAAGGTAATATCAAAGGTTATACAGACTTGTCCCTAATATTTTTTATCAGTAATACTGCTAAGCTTCTATAGGAATTAACTCACACATTTGACTTTTTGTTAATCTTGATCTTAGATTTTAATACATATTCAGACGTAGAAAGTTTCACTCTTTCGATTGCTGGGGTTACAAAAATGGCTTTCCATATAAAGGACAAAGATTGACCTTAAAAAAACTTAAAGTGCAAGGTCAAATCTAAGGTAACCATTGAGTTCCCCGTTCGAAGTTAGTAGACCTATCCTTGACCTTCTTCAGAAATAATTTACGTGAAAAAATACAGAGCCACTCCGTTAGTTTCATTACACCCAGTATGCACCATGCACTCGAGACGCCACTGGAGTAAACGTCTGTAGTATAAACAAAAAATAGTTAATACTCACATTTGCACCAATAACAACTATTACTTAATGCCAAAGAACCAAACGTGTATATTCCAACTGGTTTCTGAATTATTTGAGTATTTTGTTTATCGTTCAGGAATAATTCCAACAAATAAAGACACTATCATATACATTTTAGAGCTAACAAAGAAAGAAAACGCTTTAAAAGATCACGTTTTGTTTTTCCAAATATTCTGTAAACTTTGGTTACCATATACACTTAGACAAATAGGAACCTTCAAACTAATATTGTTCACGAATTTTGTGATTGATCCCTTTTGAATATTTACTTTTTGAGTATTTGATATCTACTTGTTGTGCAGTGTGGAGAGTCTCCGAAGGAAATGCAAATAGCTGCTCTAATGAAAATATATACTAGACGTCACTTGATTCACATTCATCGAGTGGTATCATCAATAGTTGAACGTTTAAACGGATCTTCAACATTGAAGTTTTGTTTCAGGGCGCCAGAACCATATAGGTAGATTTGACCAATTTTCTTGGTTGTCTGAGTCATAAGAGAACCGCTTAGAATAGAGATATTGAGTGTTGGAATTCTTAACAGTGTGGAAAAGTCATTATACTGAGAAAGTACCCTTCTGCAGTAGCTGAACAGTTTTGACTAAGTAACTGAACAACTAGTCACCTGAACAGTAGTAGCATTGGAGATGCAAATCCTGACAACTAGACTACCTTAGGCCTTTTTTGTCTTTTGTCGAGCCCGTTATACCATTAGTCACCAGTAAATGAACACGTAATTGTTTCAACTACTAATGTTGCATAGCAGTTAACTGGTATGTTGACAATAGTTGGGTGGGTTTTTCACGTTCTCAGAGGGCGTTTAGCGTTTTCGGGATGACGGGCAAGTGCATGTGTATGGTACATTAAAATAACGATACATAATCTCATGCTCGCTTGTCGCTTTGGGGGCCTAGATAAGCTTTGGGAATGGGAATGCCTACCCCATCCGGTCCTGGGTTTTTCTGG